GTGGCAGGGGGTCAGACCTGATGATCTGCTCAGGTCCCTTCTGACCCTACTAACTATGAAACTATGAAAAGTATGAAGGGGAGTGATAAGACTGTTTTTATTCAGTGTCATCCTTTATCTCCACATTTTCTCCACTCTTAAAATGCTGCAAAATCCACCAAATTACAGACTAAACTCACAAAATGATGAGTTATGAGTTTAGCTTTGCTATCTCAGATTAGCTCATGCAAGATTTTAAAATCTATTGTTCCATGGCACCAAACCCAACACAGGTAGAAAGTCAGCAATATATAAATCCATTTTCTATTCTGTAGTGTAGTCATAACCCTGAAGTCCTGTGAAATAGTCAGAAAGAGAGACATACAGACTTGAAAAGCAAACAACGACCTCCTGTGAGCATCACAGCAGTTAAACAAACATCTTTTTGTAACTATCTGTGTAAACTCTATGGCAAAGCCTTTCTTGAACTAATGATGTGGTTGCATTGTGTGAAATACAAGGCAATAATAATAAAAATAGCTCCCAATAGCTTGGATATTGCATTGTGAGGGATAGATAAGGTATAACTGATCACCATCTAAAGCAATACAAAAGTTTTGGGAACAGTGAAGAAACAAAACATGCAACATCTTAAAAAAAAAAAATCAAACCCCAGTAGAAGCAAACAAAGTTATCTGGTTTTCACTTTAGCTTTGCTAAAATTGTGGAAGATAAGTTATTTTAAAACTAATATTTAAAGGAGGCTGGAAACTGGCATTTGTTATCCCACTGAAGCCAAAGTAATAGATATGAGTACCTAAATACAGATTCCTAAATGTTAATTTAAGAGCCTAAGGCAAAGTGTCCCAATTTACAAAGCCTTGAGCATCAGCAAAAGTCACTTAAGCAGCACAAGACTGTAATGGCCTCTGGATTATCAAATCCTCTCCTCTGCAATTGCTAGCAAGCAATTACTAATCTCTATATTGAAACTAGTCAGGTTGTACCTATGCCCTTCATCCTTCTTGAAAGGCTGGTCCAAAACTTCACTCCTCTGTTAGGAATTTCCATCTAATTTCCATCTTAAATTTATAATCATGGCCAATTTATAGCTGTTTATTCTTGTGCAAACACTATTTGTTTGAGAACATCTCTTTTCCCTACCTGGTATCCTCTTTACCTCTTCAATATGTCAATATCTTACTCTCTTGGTCTGTTTTGCTAGCTTAACAAAACCAAGCTCTCTGACACCATAAACATATGATAAACCTATCATGCCTGGCAGCAGTGCCCTCAAGCTTGCTACCCTGTTTCAGGCAAGCACCCTTAAACTGGAGAAAGTGCAGCAGCATCTGGACAGACTAATAGACATCAACTCTGAAAGAAGAGTCAGAGAAAAGTTAGCTATCTTTGTTGGCTGAGATAAGGAGAGGTTGCCACCTCTGTGGCAGTTAGCATTGTTAGCTAGCCTAGCCTTCGTGCTTGGCGACTACAAGGAACACAACCCTGGTGCAACCAGGATTTACTCTTCCTGTCTGCATGGTGTTGTTGCTGGGCTAATTAGCACGGTGGTCTGACAAGACCAGTTAGCCCAGCAACAACACCATGCAGACAGGAAGAGTAAATCCTGGTTGCACCAGGATTGTGTTCCTTGTAGTCACCAAGCACGAAGGCTAGGCTAGCTAACAATGCTAACTGCCACAGAGGTGGCAACCTCTCCTTATCTCATCCAACAAAGATAGCTAATTTTTCTCTGACTCTTCTTTCAGAGTTGATGTCTCTGGAATTCACTACACCTCCTGAGCTCTTGCAAGAACAGGGAGACTTTCACTTACCTAACGCTGATCTATAAAGCACAACTAAACCATGTTATCTGAAAAGGGATCTGGACTACTTGGTATTCCCCCAACATGTCTTCCCCATTCCTCTTCTCTGCCTGCTAGTAATTCTCATGTTTTTCCATCCAGCCTAACAATAAAACTGTTTTTCTTTTATGGAGATGGTGAGTTTTAAAACAGTCATTGCCATCAGGCACTTCTTAACTTAGGTTTCAGCTCAGTTTCTCCTGCTCACTGAGAACAGCTGTGTTTAATGAGTATTAAAACATGTGTGAATGTATATGTAAGTGATTACAAAATTTGCCATGTTCATCAGGACAGCCAAAATTGGGCTGCATAGCTATTTCAGCTAGGCCTCAGGCCTACAACCTACAATCTTGTTAAAAGTCAGTCATTTCTGTATGAAGTAAATTATAAAACAGGGCACCAAATTCTAATTAAAGCAAATTAGAGTGAACATTCATGAACAAAAGATTCATGCCTAAAATATCCCAATTTATTCATTTAGAGCAGAAGAAAGATGATCTCTAGATTCAAACCATGAAAAGGAAATTATATGCATGCCCTGAAATTTGTTTTGTTAGTTAAACGTCAAAATTGACAACGACAATCTTTTTGGCACAGGATAAGTTGAAGTCCTAACAGCCATTTCCAATGGTTTGGTAAATTTGAAGGAACAGCTGCTGTGGTCATTAACTCAAAAGAAGCAACAGTTTATTGTTACAATAAAAATGGTGTAAGACAGAGTTCAGTCCACTGAAGCTAACAGCTACACTGATGTTCCAGAAAAAAACCCATTACCAATAGATTCCTAACCATGTGCTATAGCAGGCGTGGGCAAAATATGACCCACAAGCTGGATCCGGCCCACCAACAGGTTCAATCCAGCCTGCAGGTAGACAGCTGCCAACTCACTGGATCTCGCCTGGGTGCAGCTGGCCAGCAGCCTTGGCTGCCGTGTGGTGGCAGGCAGGCAGGAATGCTTCTGCCCAGCGTCAGCCCTTGATGTGGTGGCATCAGTTGTGGACCTGAATGGGACTTCCACTGCAGTGGGCAGGTGGCATCATCAGCTATGAATGCCACCAGCAAGTTCAAGAGCCTGGACAAAGAACCTGCTGGCAGCATCCAGAGCTGACACCACCGGCCTCTTAATGCACTGCAAGCTCCTGCCTGGAGCCCCAACCTGAAACCTGCCAGCAGCATCAGCTGTGGACCCAGGCAGGAGCGTCTCCATCCTTCCCTCCAGAACCCAGCTGAAGCTGTAGTTTGCCAGAAGCCCCGATGCTCAGTTGTGCATCCAGGCAGGAGCTTCTGCAGCACTGAGTATGCATCAGCATCAGCTGTAACACTGCCAGCAAGTTCCATATTGGGGTTCTGGAACCTGCTAGCTGCATCCACACCTGACACTGCCACCTGTCTGATGCAGCAGAAGCTTCTGCCTGGATCCATCACTGGGTGTTGAGGTTCCTGTTGAACTACAGCTTTAGTTGGGGTCTAGGGAGAGAGAGCGAGAGCAAGAAGACAGAGACTGAGACAGAGAAAAGAGTGAAAGCAAGAGGAGAGAGAGATTCATGCACCTATTAACAGGTCCCCAAAACTCATTAAGTGTACCTCCAGCCCAAATAATTGCCCACCCCTCTCCATAGTTTTACTGCATTTCAGAGTTGGCTAATACCACAATATATTCTTAAATTGCTCTACCACAAAGGTCATGGGCTATATGCTCTAGCACTGCATTCTAGAAAGTAAGTCTGAGTTTCCTGAGCTTTCCTGTTCTGAAGACAATTAAGCAACTTGAAAGTGCTTGTTACTGACTGTATGAAACTGATGTTTACAAAACTGAAATGAAGGCAAAGGTTATGCAAATATCCCCAGAGGAAAAGGTGGGTGAATATTTTTCCTGACAGAAATACTTTTCTACTCTTTTCAATTTAGTTTTTCTCCATTCCAGGTGAACTATAGAACAGGGTTCTCAGAAAAATCACAAGATACAAAATAACGGAATATGGAAATCTTGTGGTCAGCACAGAAGGCCATTTCAAGTTATGTTCTTCTGACCAGTGACATCAGCCAACTCATTAAGTCTGCACCCCCCAAAAAAGAAATACCTCATAAAGTAGTACCTACATGCATTATTAAAGCAGTACCTGTATTTGTATACCCATGAGTAAAGATCACTTACAGGAGGAACCCAACTTCCAAAAGACTCCTTTGTCTGCACAAAGATTACACGTCTGAACAAGTTTCTGTTCTGCAACTCTGCTTTTGATTTGTAATGTTGTACACAAAAATTCCTCAAGCCACTCATCTCACACTCTTAGTCTCAAACTTAAGAAGTTATACTAGAACTGCCTACATGTAAGCAACTGGACACTTAAGAGCATGCAGAGATCTGAGAAGCATTAAAAATGTGCCCAAATCAAAGTTCAGCTACCAATATGTCAATACAAGCAAAAGAAATCTCTGAAGGCTGGGAAGATACAGAAACTGCTCTTGTGGAAAAGCAAGAAAAGTACAAATTAAATTAAGGAATATAAATCCAGGGCTAGTTAAACAACAGCCCCAGTGAAGATGCAATGTTGACATACCTACTCATTTAGCAAAATGGAACCAGAATCACGGGAAAGACGAATCACTAGAAGTTCCAGCCAAGTCAGTCACAAGTCAATACCATTTTAACTAGGGGTGCACCGATAGAGATTTTGGGGGCTCAGGGTGGGCAATGGTGGCACTGGGAGAGGGCTACGGGGGCAGGGCTGCAGCCACTCCAAAATTTGCCTTAGCCCCTCCCCCATAGCCCACCTGCCTGCCCCAAGTACCCTAAACATACCTTGAAAAAAGGAATGTTAATTTCACTCAGTCTTAATAAGATGTGTTAATGAGCAGTGGAAAAAATGGGCTAGGTACTAAGAGGGAAAAATATCAGAAAGTACCATTCTTAGCAATCACTGCATTTGAAGAACTCATGAATCACCTACTACAGAGGAGGCCAACCTTTTTTGGCAGGAGCGCTACAAATTAGCCCCACACCCTCCCTGAGTGGATTCTTTCCCTTACCTGGTCTACCCCCTCCCCAGTCTGATGCTCTGATTTCTGCTCCCTGCTCTGTGTACCATGTGCCACACACAAAGGCTGCCTGTGCCACTTATAGCATCAGTGCTGCAGGTTTGCCCCCCGATCTACTGCATAGGGCAGCATCAATCGTCTGGGGAGAAAAAAAAAATTGCTCAAACACTAGATATATGCCAAGCACCATTAAAAGACTAAGGCCCAAATTTCACCCATAATTATATGCAGATGAATTAAATGGGAATATAAAGCTTGTGCATGAATGTATAATTAATTCCTCAAGGCATAGGTGTCTTATTAAGTGTACAGTGCAAGAAAGGAAGAACATCTGCAGAATACTACTGCTGCAATACTGGAACAATGATGTAAATTCAAAAGAAAGAAACAAGATTAAGTCAGAAGGGAAAAAACAAACTCTTCTTGCTATGCGAATATACATGTGACTACAGTACATACCAGGCTTTTTCTCTTGTGGAAGAAATAAAGTGCATTATGATGTCAAATTCCACCCCTTCAAACCAGTGCAGTCTGCATTTCCCTACTGCATCACACTGAAAAAGTGTATGCCATGAATAGACAAGGCAAAATATGTGAGCTACAATATAAACAAATTACATACTGTGATAACAGTTATGCAGTGAAAAATTACCTGCATTAAAATGTGGATCATCTTCCATTAATGTTACTGCTTGCTCAACTGCATCTAAGGCACTGCCTCCTTGTTTAAGGATACTGTAGCCTTTGAGTGATGCTCTGATAACGCCAGAACGACTTCCATCTTCTCGTTCTTTAAAGATGCGGCCAGCTCCACCATGCACCACAATGACAGGCTTCATATTGCCAAATCCTTTCCAATTATAGATGGACAAACACATTACTCAGAACTAACATTCTAAAACAACATATAAAGCAAAAAGTTTTAGCAAACACTCCCTTGTTCAGGATCCAGACCCAATGCTAAAGTCAACTAAGGCACTCAGCCTGGCATGCCCTAACTCCTCAACCACTGATGGCAGCAAGAAGGTTTCATTTCAAAACATGGTATAAAATCCAACCTATTTACTCAAGCACTTTGTAGGGAGAATAGAATCACAGAATCATAGAAGTCGGAAAGGACCTAGACAGATCACCTAGTCCGACCCCCTGCCATGGGCAGGAAGGAGCACTGGGGGTGGCAGGGGTCATAAGACCCCAGCCAGGTGCCTATCCAGTCTCCTCTTGAAGATTTCCAGGGAAGGTGAGAGCACCACCTCTCTGGGAAGCCTATTCCAGGCTCTGGCCACCCTTACCATTAAGTAGTTTTTCCTAATATCTAACCTAAACCTATCCTCCCTCAGCTTGTGGCCATTGTTCCTGGTGACTCCAAGGGGGGCCCTGGTGAACAGACTTTCCCCAAGTCCCTGCTGCTGGCCCCTGATAAGGTTGTAGGCAGCCACAAGATCCCCCCTCAGTCTCCTCTTGCAGAGACTAAAGAGATTCAGGTCCCTCAGCCTCTCCTCATAGGGCTGGCCACGGAGGCCCTCAACCATACAAGTGGCCCTCCTCTGGACCCTCTCCAGGTTCTCCACGTCCTTCTTGAAGTGCGGTGCCCAGAACTGGACACAGTACTCTAGCTGTGGCCTGACCAGCGCCGCATAGAGGGGGAGCAAAACCTCTCTGGACCTGTTAGTGATGCCCCTGTTGATGCAGGACAGGGTGCGGTTGGCTTTGCCTATTGCTTCGTCACATTGGCGACTCATATTCATCCTGGAGTCAATCCTGACTCCAAGATCCCTCTCTGCCTCTGTGCTGCCGAGAGGGTCAGCCCCTAACCTATAACCATAATGCTGGTTCCCGCTCCTCAGGTGCAGCACTCTGCACTTGTCCTTGTTGAACCGCATCCTGTTCAGATCTGCCCACTTCTCTAACCTATCCAGGTCTGCCTGGATGTGGTCCCTGCCTGCCGGTGTATTCACTGTACCCCATAGCTTAGTGTCATCAGCGAACCTGAACAGGGTGCTCTCCACACCCTCATCCAAGTCGCTAATAGGTTGAGGAGGGAGGGTTTAAAGGTCCATGGAAATTTGGTAGCTAACAACAGAACTGTAAAACTTTATGAAGGGAGAGAAAGATTTATTTGGAAAAAATACATTTGGCTTAAGAAAGCTCATGCATCTTATAATTAGCTAGTCTGTAAGGTGCAACACAGACTTTCTTCCTGACTTAAGACTAACAAAGCTACCTTTCTGTGCCTGGAGATAGTATTGTAGGCACACTACACACGTGGAAGAAATAAGAGCTAGATAAACTAAAATTACATAGTAGAAGAAAAACAGGAAAATCTATCCTGGGAAAAATATGATCATATTTTAATATTTTAATCTGTAAACTCTGTTTTGCATTGTAATTGTGCATTTAACAAGTATATAAAACCCAAAACAGCAGGTACAAACTGCTTGAATCATACGTTTAGGTGACAGTAAAATAAATGAGGTCATGACAATGCAATGCCTAAAATGGGTTTGTTGCAAGCTGTGCTCTTCCCCTCATTTAAAACTAAATTCTCCCAGCTGGATTTATTCCTGCAACCCCCAGTCACTGCAATGACATGAAGTGATTGCAGGGTTGTTTTTATAAGCCAATATGAACTTTTTGATACGCTTTAAAAATAAACAATTAATTAAATATATACAAATATTGAAGTCTCACATGCCCATCTCTCTACTTATTTTAAGTAAGTGAGCCATGGCAAGAAATGCAGAAATTAAAAAGTTGGATTCAAATCCTGCTGGCCTTTCCTCATATCAGGGAAGTAGTCATATTTATGCAAATATACCGATTAAAACTGAAAGCAAGTAAACGCTACTGACATGGATTGGAGAAAAGCAGGGCTGGAAGGGATCTCACACCCTCATCTAGCTTCACACCGTGCTCAAGCCAGGATCATCTCCAGTTAAGCCATCCTAGCCAGGTATCTGTCCAAACTGCTGTTGAAAGTTTCCAGGGATGGAGATTCCACGTCTCTAGGCAGTCTGTTCCAATGCTTGACCATGCTCATGGTCAGAAAGTTTGGTTTAATCTCCAACCCAAATTTCCTCTGCTACAGCAAGGCCACTGCTCCTAGTCCTGTCCCTTATTGCCAGAGAAAAACCCATCTCCATCTTCTCTTTAACCTACCTTCTGGTGTTAAGCTGCTATCAAATTTCCCCTCAGTTGTCTCCTCGCCAGGCTAAACAGCCCTAGCTCACTCAGCCTCTCCTTTTAAGTCATATTCCCCAGGCCTCCAATCAGTTTTGTTGCTCTAAGGGCCAGGCCAGATCTAGACTCTGCTTGCAATGTCAGCTGTTCTATTGCCTGGATTTCAAACCTTTCCCCTCTTAATGGTAAGTGCAGTCTTTGGACTCACTACAGAGTACAAGTTAATAACTGTTTAACTTTGACCATAGGCAAAGGACTGCATAACTGATTTGCTTGCTGGTTTGGAACAAACCTGTTCCCAAGCTCCTCTGTGGCTGAGAATAAATATGTTTCTGTCTTGTGGATCATATTTCCCCATCTCCACCATTCCTTGGGAGCAGGGGTGCTAAAGACATGGCCCACAAAGCTGTATCATGAGCCAACAGATGTATTGCCATGCCTGTCACCAGGCCTTGCTTTTTTCAGATAACCAGCAGCAGCCGCCCAAAACATGGCTCCACCCTGCTACCCCACCAGGTGCAGGGGCCTGGGGCAGCAGCAATGGGGAGGAGCCACAGGACAGCTCCTGTGGGGTCTGGATGCCTGCAGCAAGGCAGCCATACCTGCCATCAGGTCCCACTTTTTCCTAGTGCCCAGCACAACAGCTTCTGCCCAGCTGCCACTGCTGTTCATCATAGCTGGGAAGGGTGGGTCTGGAGCAGGTGCTGCAGGGATCCCAACCCCCTCTCAGGGCAGGCTAAGGCCAGGCACTCAGCCCAGAGCTCGGGCCCTGCCTGTGGGGGTCCATGCCAGTCTCCACGGGGCCCGCGCCTGTGGCACAGTAGCTGGAAGGAGCCATGAAATGGGAGTGTGGGCGCGCAGCCATGCCAGGCCTGCCGTGCCACGGGCGGGATGGCACCTGGGCCGGGCGGCACCTGCTGTATCTGCCCGCCCGAGGGGAGCACCGCAGCAGTGACGTGAGGGTGCAATATTATGAAGCTGCAGCAAGGGACGTTTAGGTGAAATCAGATAAAACGCTCTCGGAAGGAGGGCAGTAAAACGGGGGAACAGGCTGCCCAGACAGGTGGTGCCATCTCCACCCTTGCCGGTAGACACAGCCTCGGGGGGGGAGTAGTAGTCTTGCTCCGAGCAGCGGGTGCCTCGGTGACCCCCCCGGACTCAATGCGCGGGCTCGCCGCTCAGCTTCCAACGGCGCCGGCCTGGCTCGCCTCTCCAGCCCTAGCTTGGGGCCAAGGGATAGCCGCACACACCCGCAACCGGGCCGCGCTCGCGCCCCACCAGGCCCACCCGCTCCCACCACACGCGCCGCGTTACTCACAGGGCCGCCACGGCTCAGCTAGGCGCCGGAGGCGGAGCTGCCCCACGTGCCATGACCCCTGCCCCGCCCTGCCGAGATAGCGGCCACGGCCGCCGGCTGGCGAGGAGGTGGTGCTGATGGGGTCTCGCCGCAACTGCGAGCCGGAGCGGCTGGGTGGGAATTTTCGTCTAGAGGAAGCGGGCTCAGCTTTTTTTGCCCCGTGAGTGGTGTGGGGCCCGTCCGCAGCCAGATGGGGCCCTGTGCTGCCTCAGCCTGGCGCTGTGTGCTGGGGCCGAGCCTTGCATGCTAGCCCTAGTGCCAGGGCACAGCCTGTGGGGCACCCTGGGGCACTGCAGGTGGAGAGTCGTGGCTCTGTGGCAAGCTGACCGGGGCTAGATCTGGCTCACCTGGTCTAGACACATAGCGGTGTTAGTCTGAACTCAAGGAGCAGGCAGGGGCACCTTAAGGACTAACCAGGGTGTGTTCATGTATCTGTAGCTATATGTACCAGGTACTCAAAAGCTTGTTTAACAACTCTGCACTATGTAGTTGGTCCAATAAAACAAAAGATCATTTTAGAATTGAGTATGAGTGTGGTGATAGGGCAGATAGCTGATGTGGCTCAGGCTGCAGGCCCTAACAGGGGTCAAGGCCACAGCTCCTGCACTGCTTCTGCACCCTACCATCTCCCCCTACAGCCTCACCCCCCGCCATGTCTCCCCCCACAGCCTCTGTTCCCCTGCCTCATCCCCCTTCTCTCTCCCCCCCACTTACCTTTGTAGTGAAAATAGATACTTTTCTCTATGTTTCTTTGTTCCTTGTTTTAGTATTAACCCCTGCATTCTGTAACTTTCCACCCACGTGGTACAGGATGGCCCACTACGTATGCCTTATAGGTTGCTCAGGTTTTGGTTTGAAATGACCAATTAAAATGTAACACCTCAACTGAAAAGAATGCTAGCTCAATAAAAGCCACGTGCACTGTTTGTTTAGGGTCGACACTGATCTGAGCAACAAGCTCCTCTGTCTGCCTGCTTGCAAGCAATAAAATAGAGTTGGATCCAGCCTGAAAGTGTGACTCTCTTCTAGAGGTGAATTGGACTAGCCTCCTGGGGATAAAATCAGCAATTTATGCAACACCTTGCTGTGTACTGGCAGGCTCCATGCACACTGCAGCCTGGGGCACTGAGCATCACCCTGTTCCAGCCCTGTATCAAGTGGTGTACAGCCCTCATGGCTGCTATGAGGAATGGGATGGGCCCGTGCTCAGTCCCCCAGGCTAGAAGTTGGGTGGATCCTGCCAATGTGAAGTAAAGATAAGGCATAAGGGAAGCAGGGAACAGACTCTGGGGGACTAGGAGAGCAGAAACTGGGGGAGGGGCAGAAAGGGGAACAGAAGCAAGGGTAAAAGGGGGGCTTGAGGCTGGGAGGGGGCAATCAGGGCAGGCAAAAAGATGGGGTAAGCTACTTGGTCATCTTTGCCACTTCCTCACTTTAGCAGGGGGGATATGAATAAAAGATGACCCTCAAAAATTAGATTTTATCCATGGAAAATTGTAACAAATTTCTAAATTTTCTGTGTATAGTATCTAATTATTGGGGGGGGGAGTCATCTTAGAGTAAATATAGTAATTTGTACATAAACTTTAGTTTAAAATAAGGATGATCTCCTATCTTCTAATTCAGTACATCTATTCCCAGGTTACAGAGTCCTGTAAGGAGGAGAGAAGTTGAGCTCCCTCTCACTCACTGTTTCAACATCTCTGGAGACAGATGAAATCAGGATTACCTGCCAAGAAAGGACAGGCTATGACAGGGCTGTCCAATTTCTAAGCAGACAGGGCCCTCTTGAATGCACCAATCGGGCTGCATGCTGATGGACTGCAGTAGTGTAAGACACAGGCCCCCCGGGCTGCATGCCACATGCATGTCCCAGCCTTAACTGCAGCTCCCCAGTCATAGGCTCCTCTGCTGCAATATACTACATTGCCCCCTGGGGCAGGGTTAGGAAGTAGAGCCAGAGAAGGGAAGACAAGCGTGAAGACCTCAGTTGCTGCTGCTACAGCTGTAGAGAGGGGTGGGGCATAAGCCTAGGTGGGAGCCCAGAGGATACAAATTAACCCTAAGAGAGTTGCATGTAGCCCCAGGCCTCCAGTTGGATCAGGGTGGCTTATATCACAGTATCAAGGACTGTTCCACAAAATTCAGAGCAGGTGACTACTCTGGATGGGAACCACTTAACTTGTTTTATACATATATATCTCCCTAAGGGCCACAGGTTTTTTAATGGTGATCTAATGGACTTTTTCAGTTTCAGCTTTATGTCACAAGTTACTTCTGCTATCAGGTATCACTGCTGTCTGATTTCCTTGTCACTCATGATACAGTTTGATTGGCACCTCTGTCTTGCATTAAAAAAATTCTGCTCTAGGGCAATGGTCTCCAAACTCTTTTGATCCCGCACCCCTACCAGTAAAAAGTTTTTGAGCATGCACCCCCAATATATGTATATTTATATAAATATAACTCTAAATTTATATAACCCTATATTTATATAAATATAAATAGAAGTTCTAATATTTTCTTCCTGCACTCCAATGGATTGTCTTGTGTACCCCCTGGGGTGCACGCACCCCACTTTGGAGACCACTGCTCTAGGGGAAGCAAAAGTCAAAACAAGCAATGGGCCCACCCGCTAATTTTTCTGTTTTGTACCATAGTGTTCCTTTGTCAGTCTGAGCAAATGTGAACTGTATTTAAGAATAACATTAATAAGCATATTTGGACTGATCATTTTCAAGAGTTGAACAATAGTATATAAATTTAAACTTTATTTCAGGGCAGACTTGATTGAGATATGTGGAGACACTTTTAAGGAGTCACACTAGCTACAAGCTGGAGCAGTGCAGAATACAGTAATGCATACATCAGTGCATTGATTAACAGGGCAAGTGTTATATATTTATTATTTTTGACAAGCTGCAAAGGATTTTTTTCATTTACTTTTCATTTTAGTTAATGAAAAATCCTTCACTAAAAGGAATCAAAACAAGCAAACAAAAAACCCCTTTCTCCTTTAGGTTTTCTAACTCCTTTAGGTTTTTAGACCCAAATTCCCTCTCTTTGGGTCTAAAAACCAAAATTCTCAGAGATTAAACAAACTTGTGGTTTGTCTGATGGCATTTATGCTTCATCATAGCTGTTTGGCTCACCCATCTCTTACCTTTCTTTTCTACCTTTTAGCTGGTTGAGGCTGGTTTCACTGGAGGCCAACAGTTTTCATGCACTCCTGGTCACACAAGTGAGTCACCATGACAAACAGTGAAGAGCAGGACAAGAATTTACAGTAATACGCAGTTGCTCAATTTAGGTATGTTTTAATCCTGCATGTTATAATAGTTTAAAATGAATTAGTGCAGTAAATTGAAAGAGACTACACTGGATGGTTTTCCATTGTTACTGATCAGATTAACAGAAACAGGGATTTAAATTTATATGCGAATCATGTAAGAGTACTACCCACTTTTTTAAACTGAGTATTGTCCTGATTTCTGGGGCCTTGTCTGTACAAGAGAATTGTACTGATTAGCTAAATTGGTTTAAAAACTTACTCAGTTAAATTGATACAACTCCACTGTGTGGACAACTTGAGCTAAATTGATAATCAAATACCCTTAACCTGAAATGAGTGTATCATGTGAGAAACTTGCATTGATTTAAACCAAAATAGATGCGCTGTTCTGCCAACACTGATATGAAATCATGCTAGTTCAGTTTCTGTGTGCAGACAAAACACTTAATCAGTTTTCTTAAGTTGGCATGACTTTTACATCTAGGCAATGTCTGTACAGGCAAGAATAATTTGAGCTCCTGACACCGGTTATTTCCTTATTGTGATAGAAATACAGTAAGTAGACACAAAAATATAGGCTATCATCTACCTACTGTAATTTATTACAAGTGAGTATACTTTTCAACTGAAATATTGATGCAAAGCAAATTGAAGCTTATTGTTTTTGTATGCAGCTTTACTTTTGGAACTTATGTAGAACAGCTATGTGCAAATTTTCAGCCAGGTAGTATCGTCACCCCAGATATTGTTTACAGCTCAGTGACTGTCTTAACTTCTCTCCATGTACACTAGATTAATTTTATGAGGAGTCTTTTTAGTAACTGCCAACAGACAAAAAAAGTAATTGCTAAAGCCAAAAAAGCTCCAAACCGGCACCAATCCATCTGGGTTTTCTAAGATTGTCAGAAGGGGGTCACTTAGAACCTCTAGCTTTGAGACAACAGATGTAGTAGATAGAAAAGTAAGTGTAAAAGCAGCCAATTAAAATGTGTTACTTATATTGTTCAGCGTTGAACCATTAACCCATTCTCTTAGTTCATTGGGAAGCTACTGTGATTTTTAACTTTTTGTATAAAAATGAGGTATCTCAAGACTGATCTGTTATTTAACATTACTTTAATCTCTTTCTTGCTTCTATTACAATAGAACATAATTGCATATGAGATATCTGAGCTTAGGCATAAAAAGCAAAAAACGTACATGGAAAATTATTATAGAACTAGATGGAAATGAATCCAATGGATTCTATAGAAATCACTGTAAAACTCCATAGAATTTAGTAAAGGATAATATTCTTTCTGTAGAGCTTTTTATCAGTTCTATTTGATTCAATATCAGCATTCTATTTTTAAATTATTTAAATTATTAGATTTTGAAAGAAACTTCAGAAAAAACCTGTCAACTTCATCCCCACTAAATCCCATTGGGTGAAACTTTGCATATTGTAATTGCCAAGGAAAAGCCTTTCAAAAAGTGTATGATATAATTAGTTTTATTATTTGGTGGTGGTTTGCAGACATCAAGGGTTGGGGTTTTTTTGGTCTTTAGATTGAATATTGCTACATGTGAAAGAAGTCCAAAAGTATAACAGTAGATGAGTAAGGGCCAGAGTGCAGCAGCTGGGGGAGGAAGTTATTTCACGACATGTAGCTAGTGGATGTGTGTGAGAGAAAATTGCTAAATAGTATAACATATACTCTGCATCTCAGATGACTGTAATATCACAGAAGTTGTGCCTTATAGTCCCACAGCTTTGCAAATAAGATAGTCCTCCCTGTTCCAGAGAAAGCATTTCCCAATGCTAGAGACAGAAGTTGCATATAAACCGGTTTAAGTGATCAGAAACTCATTTAAATCTGTAACAGAACATAAGTTCACTGCACATAAACCAGTTTCAAAACGGCCAAAACCAGTCTGAGATAAACCTGGCTGAATGTAGTATCAGACTTGACCAGATTATGGAACTTGTGTCCCAGACCCCTGTCTGGTTTAAGTTAAATCAGAGTCCTCCAGCATGCTCTGCAGTCCTGGGCTAGGCTGGGCTGGTCTGTCTGTTCCAGCCAAGCAGGGTTGGCTCTGCCCTGCTCTTCCCTAGCCAGAGCTCTGGGTGGCTGATAAAGGGGTGGGGGTGGGAAACCCTGCTCTGGAGTGCTGCCAGGTCTTCCTGCCAAGGGGGCAGCAGGCCCTGCAAAGTGTCCCCAGCCTCCCACCCATTTCACTGCTCCAGTGGCAGGAATGGGAGTGGGGCCAGACCCCAGTAGTCCAAGGGGGAGTGGGGACTGGTGCGGGGGGAGGGGATGTGGGCACCGATAGGCTCTGCTTGTGCTCTCAAGCCCATGCACCTGGGCTGCAGTGGCCAGATGCCAATAGCTTGAGGAGAAGTGGGGGGGTTTAATCCCCACATTGCAGGCATGGACAGAGTGCCCTGGGCCAAGTGCCTCCGAGGAGTGGCCAACCAGCTGCAGGGAGGGGGTAGTGAGGGGGGATGTGACCTGGCTGCAGGGGGAGCTGGGGCTAGTTACAGAGCCTGACTCATTTCTGGCTTCCACTGTGGCAGCACAGACTGGGCAGGGGCAACCCCAGGGGTTGGGGGGGTCAGTGCCCACCAGCTCCCACCTCCATCCCCACAGAGGGGGCCACAGTTTGCAGATGGGCTGCTGCAGCAACATGGCTCCCTGACCCCTTCCTCTCCTGGCGAAGACATCGTGGTGGGTAGAGGTGAGGCACCTGTCACCTGCTGCCTGCTCACAGTGGTGTTGGGTGCTCCAGGCATGCTACTGTGGGCCAAGGGCATGCGCAGCAATGTGGGAAGGCAATGGTGAGCAGGCAGTGGGTGACAGTTGCCTTACATCCATCTACTGGAATGGTTTGCTCTGCTGCTGGGAGAGGGAGAGGGTGGGTAGCCACACTGCAGCTGCATCCTGCCTGCATACCATGGCCCCTGCATGGAGCTGGAGGCAGGAGGCAGCAGGTGCTGACCCCTGTCCCCTGGGGCCACCCCAGCCCAGGCCATGCTGCTGCAGATGGAGGCAGCAGTGAGTCAGGCTCTGTAACTAGGCTCAGTTCCCCCCACCCCCTGCAGCCAGGTCATATCCCCTCAGTGTGGTGGCAAGGAAGTTTGGTGCCCAGGGCAAAGCACTCAGTGGCAGCTCACCCTTGCCTCACAAAGAGATCTGGGGGGGCACATGCCCTACCCATGGTTGCCCAGGAGTGCACGCAGCAGTGGGAGCCACCCTACTCCCATCCTCATGCCCCTCCTGCCATAAGCTACTCATGGCTCTGTTGCATCCCAGCTCAGCAGTGTCTGTTAGTGCCCCTTTGCTTCGGTGCCTGGGGTGGTCACCTTGCTCGCCCCCCACTTCCTATGGCGCTGCATCCCCTCTTTCCACCCTCTCCCCATGGCTGACTGGCTGCTCCTCAGAGGGAATCTGTTCAGGGTGCTGTTTCAGTGCCCGCCACTGCTGCCCACAATGGGGGAATTAAACCCCTCCTCCCCCTCAGGCTACTGGCATCTGGTCACCGTGGCCATGGGTGCATGGCCCCAGGTGCACAAGCAGACCTCATGGGTGCCTGCACTGCCTGCCCCCTGCAATGGGAGGATTAAACCCCTGCTTCCCTGCAGGCTACTGGAGTCTGGCCCTGCCTCTGTTCCTGCTACCAGCCAGCCAGTGAACAGGAGTTGGGGAGCTGGGGACCCCTGACAGGGGCTGTTTCCCCTCTTCCCCTCTGGGCAGACCCCATCTTGGGGTTTAAACACCTCCCCATTCATACTCAGGCCTGCCCAGGCCTGGTCATGCCCCTTCCCTCAACTTAGTTTCCCTCCAGCTGAGGACTCACTTTAGTGCCCCCCCAGCTTCTGGCATGACACTGCAGGCATGTGCCTGAATTTCCAGAGTCAAAAGTGAATGTGTTAGACTAACCTGCAAAGATTGAACCAATTGAGGCTCTGGCTTTCTGAATGTCTATCCCTAGCCCAGAAAACTAATTATTACCAGTTGTGTCTTAGTATTAGGATTACATAGTAATTCTCACACAAGGTGCCACAGCATGCTGGGGTGACTTAAGATCTTTTCAAGAGTGCCATGGGGTGCTACATAAAATTAGCACTGTTAGATGTACAAACATGATTAACAAGATAAACCCAGATATTTCAAATAAGAATGCATAGTGTTAAAAGCATTCTGACCTGTTCTGGTCTTTCTGCCTTCTTTTCAACAGAAGAATGCTCTGTTAAAAGAAGAATGATCTATTATTTTTCTGTAATCAAAAATCAAGTGAAAACTAAGAGCTGACTTTTCCAAAGAGGTGTCCTGAGTCTTGCGGGGTGCCTTGAGTCTACAAATGTTGAGAACCACTGACATAAATGGAAAAATAAATTTGCATTGTGCAGTATGTTTCAATGTCCAATGTTTGTTTTCTTTGAGTAACAGCTTATAAACGTTTGTCATTTGTAAAGTGTATGAAAATCTTGCAGAAAGGAATATAAAAGATTTAGCAGTTTTGTGTGATTGTTTTTATTTGTACTGCAGTAAAATCCAGTCAGACAGACCAAGGTCACTTGGGATAGGTATCATACCAACGTATGGGAAGCCTGAAGGTTTATTGTATAAGCAGAAATTAGAAAAGATAAAAAAGGGCAATTATCAAATAATATAAGAATTGAGCAGTGCACAGAAAGAGATTTCTGCTCATAGACAATTTTTCATCATTTTTCAAGTTAGGAAACATTTTTATCATCTGGCAAATGATCACATATGGCTTCTTTTAGCTTCAAATAAATTCATATATTTTACTTTACTGTGGTATGCTTAACATGTTTTCTGTTAATAACTGGCATGTTTTCTGTCAATCAGTGGCATGTCGAAGAGAATGAATTGAAACGTGGGTTTTTCTTTATTCACACACCCATGGTCAAAAGTAAGAGCAGAAGGCAGCAGAAGATATGATCAAACAGCAATTGCCATAATTTCAATTTATTTGCCAATGAGCTTTTAAGAGCTGACAAAAAATGCAGGCAG